GAGTAACACTTATGTTTATTTCCACTCCACACTATTTTTGCACAACCAAAAAGCTCTTACGGAAGGAAATCCTCTCACGCTTGCACACAATACTCATTGGGTATAGCTCTGGCAGCTTGTAACATCAAGGTCTCGCCACATAACAGGATCTACTCTAACTCACAAATACAGAGTCTGAACTACTTCAAACTTTACATTTAACTTCAGAATCTCTCCCTGAAAAGACCTTTCTGCAATCACTGCATTTTGTCAAAGCCACAAAAGCCCTTAAGAGGCAAGTAGCTTTTATACAGTACAAATGTTGTGCTCAGTATTTTGTTGTCTCACATGTTCTTCCTCTGGTTTTCTTCCTCTCCTTTAACTTTTGTCCTATCAAAGCAGTATCAGGAGTTTTGGGTTTGAGTTCTGGGGTGCTCACACTAGATGAAGATCTCAGACTCAGACTTCATACTTCTTAGAGTGTTTATCAAGTTTGTTTTCCCTCTCTAACTTTTATTGGAGCAGCAGTCAGTTTGTTATCAGAGTAATGCATGTTACATAATTGAAGCCTGAACTTCTGACTTTCGGACCAAGCTTTTGGCTATTTGATCCTTGTATTCTCTCCGCACCTTGAGCATAAGTTCTTATTAAAAATGATCCAAAATATGTAGTGTTATGTATCTCAGGGGCAAACTTCTGTACAGTACCATGAACTCCACCCTTGTGCCAAATTTCAAGTTTTTCAGGACTACAAGTATCATAAAATATTTAGATAAATATATCAAGACTCAAAAAGTTCAACAGTTTAAAACAAAGAGTCCTTGTTTTGACAAAGATTTTGCTAATCTGAATTATTTTCAGTCCTCTCTACGGTAGAAATGTGTATAGAGAGATAAGAATTTCAGATTGTATTCACTTTCATGAACAATGCAATGCTTTCGTAATTGGCTGAAATTGCAGAAGCTAGTGTCTATAATTTGACAAAGTTTTCTAACAATGAATCCCTGCCAACACTCCCAGAACTCTTCAGTATTTCAGACCTATCTCCTGCCCACCTCCCGTACAGTCATTTCTCCCAGGAATCTCCCGTAGTTTGATGGTCCACATTCATTCATGAACTGGATCACTGTATTTGTCCAAAGTTGCCAGGTTTCCAGACAACCAAAGAAGGTCGTGTGTTTCTGCTGAGCCTCACAGACGCTGGATTGATACTTTTACTTTACAATTTGGAAAACTATATTTAAGCAGCGTTTGTTGCAAAATGAACACTTCAGTGAAAGGGAAACAAACGTGAGATATAATATTCACGTTGATAGTCTTGCACCGCCTCGAAGTGATGAGTTCAGGGCAGCCTCAGATAAAAGAGTTCTGTATTGCATGTACAGATGTTCAGAGAGCCTCATACGGGAGAGCATGTAAAACATATGAGGACTTTAACACTAATATTAGTGGACTAAATAAGTTCAAGACATATCGTAGCTATTATTTGTTATATTACTCTCATAATTATCTCATGTCCACCATACAAGGTAACCCCAAAACTGCCCGGCGTGCGTCACAAAAATCTCACGGGTTTTGTAACTCAAATGTTGGCAGGTATGACAATGTGTGTAGGTTGTCAGATAAATAGTCTATAATAAGATCAAACCTCTCAGTATCCTGCATCAATGGTTCTCTACCGGTCTAGCCCATCACCTTTTCTTTGAGATGACAGGTGACAACTGGTGTTGTTACATTACTGCCACCCACTGTGTATGAGTGTGAATAAAATACCCCACTACTGCAGGCGCTCTGCATCATTACAAACAAGTCCTTTTAAAAAGCAACAAAGTCTATGCCCCAACTCTCTTTAGGTACTCATCTGGGACCCACTGAAAATGACTCTGTAACCCACTAGTAGAGAAACAAGGGTGTTTATCTTCTAAATGACTCCTTGGTCTTTTTATTTGTTCTGGATTGCAGCAGCTAAATGAATAAATTTAAAATACTTTTTTACAGTGTGCTTATAGAAACTGGCATAATGTTGGGTTAGGGGCATGAGCTTGTAGCTCTTCGAGGAGTGTCCTGGCTATAGCTGTGTGATAATTAACTGTAATTTTTTTCTTTTTTTACTTTTTTTAACTTCTCCTGAAAAATACTTGAGAATTTTACAGTAGAGTTTTCACATGCAGGCATTAAGCAACACAAAAGTCCATTGACAACTTGAAGCAGGCTTTTAGACAGCTTTTGTTAGCAGGCTGGTTGTTCTTAAGCTTAATGCTAATTGATTATATAGCTGACTGCTAACTGTTGCCTCGTATTTATAGTGCATACTGGAGCTGGGGATAAATCCTTTTATCTGACTGAAGGCAAAGGCAGCTCTTTGGAGTATTTCCCTGGACCTGAACTATTTCTTTAAAGACATCCTTCCGGGTCAATTTATTTCCCCTAATTAAAACTCTCCATCTGCTTTTTAAGAGTGAATCATTGCATTGTCTGTAGACAGGTCTGTAGGTAACAGATGGCCCAACAGGAAATCTCATTAGAAGTGAAAGAAAGTGTAGGAAATCACATGTAAGAATACTCACACATGCCTTTTCTGTGTTTCAATAATCTCATCACATGTGCAGATCAAGTCTGTGTATTCTAGGATCACAAGCGGAGAGGCTATTCATATGCTAAGCTCTAAATATGGAAACTAGTCAAGTTAATGTTACCAGAATTCAAAGTTTTGAGGGCAAAAAGGCAGAGAATTTTCCCCTGGACAACAAAAAGAAAAGCCCAGCATGCAGTTTAAGGTAGAATGGCCTGAGTGAATGGATAATAAGGCTGCAGAGGCAGTCTGGACAGACGGTCAGTGATCTCCCCGCAGGGAGAATAGAAGTTATTTTACAGCAGATTGCCTCACACTGCCCACACGAGCTAATTATACAGACTATTCATGCGCGTCTTGTATGGCAGAATTGTATAATTACAAAGAGCCTGTTCCTGTGATAATGCTCTATGTGAAAAACTGATGGAGATTTTGGTTTTACAAGTACAATGAGTCCATTAGGTGATTTTCTTCCATGCATGGTACATTATCTCTATCTCTGAATGCGATAATTTACTTAAGCATGTAGTCACATAATCATGCAATGTTTAAAAATGGATTTGCCTTGTAAAATGACCTCTTCAAAATCTCTCCAGATGAAAGTACCCCCTCCAGGCAGTGGGATTTTTCTTTTAAGCGTGCAAACTGTATGTGTTGTATCAGATGTGGAGGTGAAAAGGGCCCCGTCACGAGATGAGTCCTGACATGAAGTGGTGGCAGTCGACTGTTTGTGTTAGCCATAGCAGGAAGAACATCCGTGACAGGACTCATCTCGGCTCTTAGAACAAGGTCAGTGTTTCCTTTGAGCACAGCCATGGAGACTTCACAGCATCGCTCAGCACCACGTCTTCAGACTGGCAGGCAGGACCGCCAGACAGGAGAGGTGATGAGGGCAAATCAACAATCCAAACACACATATGAGCGTAGACAGATCTCCAAACTCGAGTGCACTCAAACTTGAAGAGGAGCAATTTTTAAGTCCTTGCTTCCTTGTTGAAGTTTTCAACTTTTGGGGGGCACAGTGCAGTCAAGTGGAGCCCCCTAAAGTTAGTATTTTGGAAAAACTGGCCTCTGCTGCATGAATCTGGCTAGGTGTCACACCAGTCAATGCAGTTGGCTGTGTTTGCAGTCAAGGATCAAGTCAACTAATAAAGAACAAAGTTAGTGGGGAGTCTGGGGACGATAAAAATATTGATAAAAACTGTTTTTTTCTTCTTCCTGGATTAAATGTTATGATAAAAACATTCATGATCAGCAGTGGCGATTTTGGTCTGGAAATTCTGGTGGGGCCATGCAGGAAAATCTCATGATGCTATCCAGAAATACCAGATATTACTCTCATACCGTCACAACAAAAACGCAACATTAAGTGAGATAGGGGACCACAGCACCTTTGACGACAAAACTGCAGCTGAATAATATCATCACACAAACAATGTCAATCTGGCGACTTATTATCATACCAATAGCACCACCAAATGGCCATGTTGAAGACCTCACAATATCAAATACTCAAGATCGACACAACGTGACAATAATACAAACACAATGGCGTGAACAGCGCACACCCAATACACAATCAATATACAAAGCCACCGCACACACAATATACCACAGCCAGGCAGCCATTTTAGCACCAAAGACAGGTGAAGCCCACGTGAGGTAACGTCCACCACACACACCCACACACGTATCACCAGGTACACGTTACATAAATTCCACTTTTATTCAAACAATATGTCAAATACATTATAAATTCCATGTAGAATAATAGACTCACCGATGTAGATCTGTTTTTGAAGAGGATTGACGCTCTGCGGTCCTTCATGTGCATAAACTTCTCTGTGACCTGTAATAATCCGATACATGAATGAAAAATGTGAATAAGCCATGTTGAGGTACTACGGTAGCCGAGATAGGGAGACCTGTGCAGTTCCTGAGCTTTCTTCTCATTAGCCAATGAAAAGTGCTCTGGGGGCGACATTTTTCAAGAGTACCCAGATGCAGCGCCAAGATGGCGGACCCAAAGATAGAAAACCCCATTTACAAAACGCAATAAGTTTCCGCATTACCTCCGATTGGCGGACCCAAAACATGAACTTTGAACTTCTGCTTTGCGATGCCAGAACAGTAGGTGGCGGTATGTACCTACACTTTCTGACGGCAAAATTTACAGAAGAAGAAGAACTTAATCGACGTCGTTACAGGAGCACACACCTTACAATGCGCATTTGTACAGCGAAACAACGGTAAGGAAAATATTATTTTATATTATTTTAATCAGGGCTTCCCCAGCCAGGACTTTGGCTCAGACTGTGGAATCTTCATGTTGATGGTAGGTCATAACGAGCTGTAATGCACAAATATTGTATCTAGAATAACTTTCCAACATGGACTTTTTTAAAGTTATCTCACATGTTGTCTCATAATTTTTTTTTTTAAGTCTGCCATGTACATCGTTCTGGAGTCACAGTTTGACTACTCAGTTGTAAGTACTTTTCAACACGCAGTGTCATCCTCAAGGTTGTATTTTGTATTGTGCACTAAAATGAAATACAAACAACAATTTCAGCATGACATGCCTGTTTTGCGGCGATGGTGGTGCCTGTTGCTCCTGGAGAACAATTCTTTGAACAGGTAGACAGTTTAAGTAAACTAGATGCCCTAATTAACTGGAAGACAATCAATGTATTGTACTTAAAGATATATTGTCATTACAGTTGTGGGAAAATCTTCGCCCACTGGACCGAAGAATGTAAACAGCTCATTGCTGGAAAGCATACTCCGGTCTTCAGACTAAAGAGGAAGGCCGAGCAGCAGGACATAGAGGTTAGAAAATTGCCTTCTAAAAACAGTATTATCTCAGTGGGAGTCCTTCAAAATGCACACAGTTGTATGGATCAACATTGTCTCGATGTATTTGGTAATTGATGTTACTTTTCAAATTGACTTGTCAAGGAAACCATGACGTAGAGGGCATCGGATGTCCGAAGAATGTGCATGGCAGAGTCGATGCAATTCTGTATCTACCAGACATCCGACAACACAGGAGAGAGGTGTGTTGCAGACTCAATTTAATAAATGCAATTATCGGGGCCTATTCAGTGATTTTCCATGAAGTGACCACTTTTACATATAGTTTAAATGCACGAATCATGCAGGAAAATTATTTATACATTCAAATGTGCTGTAGAGGTATAATCAATTGGACAGCGTGTTTGTTTGATATTATGTTTGTCTCTCATTTGATCAGATTGCTTTACCCTGAGGTAAAATTGATCAAATGGGTCCAGTGCAAGACGTGCAGGGGCTGGCTGCATCAGGATTGTGCTGGGATGGAAATGGAGCCGTTTGACTGCGGGTGCGAGGACTCCATTGAGCGTCCTCGGTATAACATAATTTATCAAGGAAACATAGTATCAGTCAAAAATACGAGGCTCAAAGGATGAAAAAATGAGGGCTTGCTCTTTTTCTTATTTCTCTGCAGGATCAAGGATGCTGTTGACAGTGGAGGAATTCATGCTGTCTTTTCTAAGACACAGATCAAGGTTGCTTTTGAATGCACTATCAGTTGTTAAAGCCACCGTTTCTTTTTCAGATGATTACATTTTTGTCTCTTGCTCTTTGGTTTCAGACATTACATGATGATCTCCTGTCTGGAAAGCTCCGCTCCAACCGGATTTTCCTTTGGAGGAATCCCGCCACCTCACTCCGACTGAAGCAGCACCTCAAGATAAGGACATTAAGTTGGAGTGAGCAGCGCGTAAGTAAAAATGCCATCCATCATGAGTATTTTTACTCTCAGGGGTGTTACATTTGAAAGGTGTTTACTTTGTGTGTTTTTCTTCAATAGATGTTCAAGCTCCTGCGGTTCATTGAGGTGGCAACAAAAATTTCTAAAAAAATAAAGAGAGGCGAGATTCATCTGCTTGATTTCGTTTTTGACGTCATGCTCCCAGAGGTGAGTAGATCAAACTATATAGCTTGCTTTGAAAATTGATGATATTGTTAAGAGGTTGTTCTTATTCATTTGGAAAGCTCAAGAACAACAATTAACCCATACTGCATAACTTCAATTGTTCACATTATTTGACTGTTTTTCAGCTTTTGATCAAAGCACTGAAGGAGCATGGCATCAACCGGTTCAGAGCAGAGCTGATGATGGCCGGTGGCAACGCGTTTTAAGCCCCCCACCACACCGACGGCAGTGCTGAATATATTTTTTTTTTTACTGTTCACAATTTTGTTCGGAAAAAATTAAAGAAATCTTCAAAGCAGTTGTATGACAATTTCCCATTTCTTTACACAGTCTGTAATGATATCGCTATTCAATTGTTTTTGCTATATGGCTCTTCTGAACCTTAAAGAGATCATGTGACTTGTGTCTCTACAACTATTGTATACTTGGATTTTGCACAGTCAAGCAATCCTCAAGAGGTTCACCAGGAAGCACACCATTTCATAAATTATGTCCCTGGTTACACAATGTTACTAAAGGATGGGGGGAGTAAATTTGTGCAGCAACATAAGCACTCTCATAAAACATAATTATGAACAACAGAAAATATGTGAGGGTCAGGGCAACATTGTTGACATTAAACGAGGTCCTTATAGGAGTGGAGAAACAAGGTCACAGAGAAGTTAAGAAACATTGATGTGCTGTGTAATAGAGCTATTGGAGAGAAAAGTTAGATGATGTGTAACGAGAGGTTAAAACAGTCCATACTTGTAGCAAACTCTTACAAAAGAATTTGAGTAAGATGATAACTTCTACATACATTTACCTATTCTGACAAATTATCAGAATATGAGGACATCAGGCTATATATACATATTACTGTAAACTTCAGAATTAAATCAGAACAAAACAGTAGTCATAATTAATACATAAACGTTTTATTTTGATTTTTAGCTCAATAATAAATTTAATTCGATTCTTATGGAATGAACGGAGCAAAAAAAAAAAAGGATCCGGCGACTAAATCCGACTACCTGAAGTATTTCGGCGCTGGAAGTCCGCCAACGAGAAAGCCTTTCCACCGGAAGTAATTGTTTTGGGTCCGCCAATCGGAGGTAATGCGGAAACTTATTGCGTTTTGTAAATGTGGTTTTCTATCTTTGGGTCCGCCATCTTGCGCTGCATCTGGTCACCTCTCACATTTTTTCGTAGGATGGTAGGGTAAGGTCCCGCCCTCCTTTGCCTCTGATTGGCTAGAAGTGCTGGGCTTCGATTGGTTATTCTTTATGGCTGTGAAACGTCATCGTTTGTCAGGTTACCCGGGATTTCCACCGCATCCGGAACGGCCCCCATCCGTAATAACGGCGATTTTCGCTGTACACCAATTCCTCCCGGGTCTGTTTGTGAGGGGAATTTCGTGGCGGATTATTGACAGCAGGAATCACGAGAACTCACAAGAACCCGCGGATTCACGTGTAATCACGCGATAACAAGTTATCATTAGCCTCGTAGGCTAACCATACAAGCAGTAGTTTGTGTCCTTCCAGAGGAGGAAACTTCTAGACTTAAAAAAATCAGCATCTCCTCATCCATGGTGTCACCGGAGTGAAATGCTGTCTAAACATTTTACTTGTGCATCTCCGCCCGTTTGCATGGTGTGAAATACGATCTGCCTGAAACATGGAGTTTTTTATTTTGAAAAGAAGCCGGATGTTTTATATTGTGCCTGTGCCCGACTTCCTCTCCAGCACGGGTTAATCTTTGCTGAATTTATCCGGCATGCTCTGGTGTCCGGAAAAAATAGAACTCTTGGAATCAGCTGCGGAGGCCGGCAATCTGCAGCGGAACAGTAAGAAGCCGGTGGAAATTGACACATTAACTTGAATGGGTATGATCAGCGGATATGGCCTTCGTAGCCGGATGCGGTGGAAATTGCCGGTTAAGGTTAGAGTTAGGATTAGGACTAGGGTTATGAGAATGGGATGACATTTCACAGCCAATCAGAAGCCAAGAAGGCGGGACCTTCCCCTATTATCCTATGAAAAAAAAAATCCTGCTCTGGGGCCCTCAACTTGAGACACACAACTGTGCTACAGAAAGAAGGGAAATTGCGTTCATCAAATGAAAACTGCAAACATCGCAGTGTGGAAAAAGTTGAATCTCAATGATGTTTTTAGCACAGGGAAACTTAATTAAAAAAGTTAATAATCCTCTCCTGCACAGCAGTGCTCTCTGGTGGTGATGCAGGTAATGTAGCGCATTTCATTTATGGTTTCCTGAGTATCTGTGACAGCAGCAACTTTGCAGCTTGGTTGCATGGTTACATTCATTAGTCATGTGACACAGATACAGACTCTTCCTGCACAGCGGTAATAGGCCTATAGGAAAAGAAAAAATGATTTTCCTGAGAATAATGGATTGACTCCAAACCAAATACTTCCTCTAGATGATCAGTAATAATTCCGGGTAGAGTGTCGATTATGGTGTGTGTATCGGCAAAAAATCTGTATTTTCTCATTTTCTTATTTTGGACATTTAATGGGTGTCTTGCTATTGTGCAGTGGTTTTATGCTCACAGCCAACTGTCTGCAGGTCAGGACTTCTCAGAGACTTGGTGACATTGCTGTTTCTTTCCTTCATTTTCAGTCTGTCTGCAGCAGACACAAACACAGCGCGTGCATCATTATGAGAAGCCAAAAGGGCTGAAAAAAAGTCAGTACCTGTCGACCCGAAATGAGAACAGTTAGCAATACAGAGGCTGTGACAGACAGCAGATCAGAAACTCACAGCAGACATGACTTCAGCGGCAAACAAAGGAAATCCTGAGTTTGTGCAGAGGTGTGGAAGTGGTTATTTTAGAACTGAACTGTGAGACATCCAGCATATTATAATATTCCTGTGCTTATCTTTTTGTTGATCGAGCACCATTACTTATCTCTCTCCTTACAATTGGCAGCAGCTGTAGGTGAAAATAAAAGTGTGGATCTGTTTTTTCATGAAGTATGAAGTTGTAGTACCTTGATTTACCTTGACCTTAATGTAAAAAATTATGTACTGGTTGTGGAAAAAACTATAAATGGATAAGGGGGCTGTTAATTTTGACAGGTATATGGGAAAAACAACCATCATCATGAGGTTCATTACAGACAGGTTATGGTCCAAAACATTTCAGAGTTCTTTAAAGGACTCAATGTTGTATATGAAAAAAAGAACTTTTCAAAATGCACTTGTACAGACAGAAATCTCATAATGCTATTTCCAGCTCACTCTTTTGGGGGATTTTCCCTAGAGGCCTACAGAAAATAGCTTGCCTATAGCATTGCCGGTTGAAAGTTGAAGCTTTAAAGTCGTAGTGATGGAGCTTTTGCCAGAAGTGTGTTTGATCAGTTTTTCTCCCCAGTGGCAGTCTGTTAGATTTGAACACAGATCTTGCGGTTCATAAAAAGACGTCAGCGGTAAGCCCTGTGTGCTCAAGAGACAGCGGGTCAGGAAAATCAGCAGCTAGGGAAGGAAAGTTTTGTTTATGGAGAAAATTGCTCCTTACTTTATAGCTGTAATGCAGCAAGATTTCTTCTTAATTTCAGCAGGTTTATGTGGAGCACTCCCAGATTAACACCTTGAGCCTCTGTCTTGCTGTTGAAGCTGAACATCTGGTACCATCTTATGGGCTGTTTAGGTGAGCCTAGTCTAATTATGTGTGATTTGGGCTCTTAATTTGTTGAAGACTGTAATTAGAGCAAATTAAACATAGTAAGGGACTCACAGTGATGGCTACTTAATAGACTCAGAGCTGCATAAAAGAAAATGATTGAAGAGTGAAGAGTCATCACTTTACAAAATGTATATTTGTGCCAAGTTCATGTGTCACTTTTATGAGTATTAATGAAGAAAGGTCAAGTCCAATTATATCATTTATATATTGTATCACAATATGCAAAAAAATGCTTCAAATATATATAATAAACCCACAGAGGATGGTGGGTTATGTTGGTTTTTTTGGGGGGACTTAATATGCACATTTCACCCTTGGAATAAAACTTCCATGTCCATCAGCTGAATATGATGAAGCTCGGCTGAAGTTCTTACATGGTCCAAGAGCTTTAAAGAAAAATATCACCTTCTTGGAGTGGGGCAGGCCAAACCAGGGAAGTTTATTTAAATAAAATGAAAAGGTTGCCCTTTAAAGCGGATTCGCTGTCACGATTTGATCTCACTAAATTCTTGTGTTTCTTTTTTAAACGAGCCATGCAGATCCCTGTGTAGTCCTATCTACTTCAACACACATTAACCTTGTCTTCTGAAATTTGAAAACAAATGCTAAGTTAAGCAAAGTATAAAAAAGCACCTCTTCAGTAACTTATACTGAGTATGAAGTTAATTTAATGTTTTGCATTATTTAGATAACTAAGTACAGGAAAATGGACATTGCCATTGTTAAATGAATACTACTCCACTCTCTCTACTTTCCCAAGTCTTGTCCAGCAAGTTATGACCAACAAATGATAAGTCTAATAATTCAAATTTGGGGAAAAGAGAACTTTTTACACCTTATTTGTATCCTGTTGCCAGAAATCATTTCTCAGTAAACTATGTTCTCTTCCAGGAACAGCACAGCCTGTTGTTGAAATTAACAAAGGAAATGTAGGGAACACGGTATGAGCTGCTGCGGATGTGTCCAAGTTTGGATGTTTTTACAGAGAATAACAAAATGGAGCATAGCGGGCAGTGGCTGGATTTCAACAGGTGTTTTATATCAATTTCCCACAGCTCTGAAATTGAAGAAATGACTCACCACTTTTCTTTTTAAGTCAAATATGAGCTTGAATGAACTGCACTAATTATAGAGCACCACAATCTCAAGCTTTCATTTACCCCCCATTTTCTGTTGTCCCTCCAGGCAGGGGAGCACACCAGCAGTAAGACACTGATTTTCTAAATAGGTTTACAAGCACACGTTTCAGTGTTTTTGTATTGTACTTTTTTATTATTTTCATAAGAAACAAATCAAGTTTTTCAATACCTTAAAGTGTGAAATGTATTGTTTTTTTTATCATGAATTCTCACAGTACATTCAGTTAATGTTGATCTGAAAGAAAACATCTTTGAACTTGGCACTTAGAAAACAACCACAAAGAATTTTCACCTTTATTCATTTAGAACAAAATTTACAAAGCCATTCAAACAGTCATTTTTTAATACTTTTGTGTTTTTTAAACTCAACTGTTGA